TCATTTAGGCTACATCTTCTTTATTAGAACTTTAGTTGATTTATTGAAAAGTAAAATTTTAGAATAGGTTGAAAGATAAAATGAATGTATTATCGCACAGCCCATATAGGATCATGCAGAATTTCTATAACCAATATTTTGTAAATTTATCATCAATAGCTAATCACGTACATATTGAATATCAGTATCTTTTTTGCGTTCAATATTGAAATTAATTTAATTAAAGCAATATATAAAATTAAATTATTTCAAAGATTTAATATTGATCTTTTACAATGTTTACGTGAATAATTGACTTTTTGTAGTGTTGTATTCAGTTCTTTCGTTTTGGAATCACTTTCAGAGTGAATAACATTCTTTCCATAAAGAGAGCTGGATCCGTTATATTCTTTATAAATTCATTTAAATTATGAAATAATTTTACACAACACAATATTCTATAAAGGATATGAGGTAGCAATTATTGGATCAGTTTTGAGGCTATTAGATCCTCACTTTTATTAGGACAACATACCAATATTTTAGGACCTCAGTCCTAAGACTGCAAGTCCTTTTACCGCATTCCTAGGAATTGGCTCATGAACCGCAGATGGACGAGACTTTGGATAAATCCTTGGGATATTTTTAATAAATTGGAATAACCTTAAGTGCATTATTTAATTTAGATCCTAATAAGAAACTAACTCGTCAAATTTATATTTTTTAATCATATGTTAAAATTCGAAAAATAAGTCGAATTTAGCTTGAAATTTTGATCTAAGCTGATATTTATGTTTTATTTTATCATCGCGGAAAGACGATAATCAAATTTCTGCCTAATTTAAGGCTTCATTGAATGATTAAACTGGTTCATCAATATTATTCACGCGGGTTTTGTTTATTACTTGCATTTATTTGTAAAAGAAAGAGATATTCCCAAACCGTCTAATCTTGTCTGATATAGCAAGGCAGTATTAATGAACGAAAAAAAAGTAAACAATATCATATATCATTTCTTTCTATATTGCTATTTACGGTGTCATATTTTGATTACATATTTATATAATTTGAACCGAATTCGCGAAAAAAATCAACCAATAAAAATTGTAAGAAGTATTCTTGATTTAAGATGACAGCAATGGTCGATGCACTACTGATGGACGCATTATACAGGTCAAAGAAATGTCTAACCTCATTCGTTTGTAACATTTTCTGTAAAAAGTTTCCATTTGAAAACTGTATATTCGTCCGTTTATAGAAAAATAATATTAGATAACCTTTTTGAAGATTTTTTAATATTCGAAAATCTATTTGAATTTCGAACGGAAATCCTATTCTATACATATAAAATTCTTGGCAGGTAAATATTGTACTTTTTTCCTCATTTTATGAGATCATAATATCAAAATGAACTTTTCATCAAAAATGAAGAGTTATTACTTTGTTTCTATTATCCAACTTCATCTTTTGGTTGCGTAAATTTTAAACTTATATCAAAAATACAAAATATATAAATCTTTTTTCTAAAACTTTTGCTTTCATTTCTACATTTTCATTTTTTTTATAAATCGCATACATATAGCACACAACCTCCTCCGAGCGTATCAATCAATTTCACTCATCAGTTCATACATTTATAGAAAATTTTACATTTTTTATTTATAATATAGAAAATTATGTTTACAAACGATTGATTATATTTAGAATAGAACTCTTTACTCTTAAATAGATTTTATAGAGAATTATAAGATCTATTTGCAATTTAAAAATAAAAACTTTATTATATTTTTAATATAAATTTACTATCATTAAATTAGCGGGCGATGCCCCGGGTTTCGCTATACACGACGTTGAAAACTTAATTTTTAAAGGTTTAGAATATTTATAACAATTGAAAATATAAAATAAATAATACAATTTATTGATGTATTTTAAATAAGCCAACCTAATCTAAACGTTAACCTCATTGGTGTTTTTATCTAACTTTAATCCTATTTTAACGTAATTTTTATGTAATTTTTAATGATACATTTTATTTTATATTAAATAATTAATCTTTTAATTTAAAATATAATTATCGTTATATTAATGTTTTTTAATTGCTCATTATTTATTATTTTCGGATTGATTACTTTTTTTTTATTTTATAATTTTAATTTTTAAGTTTGATTTTTTTTCGGATATATTCTTTTTTAATTCTACCTAAAAATAAAAAATTGCGAATATTATAAATTAATTAAATTTTAAAAGATAATCATTTTATTTTTAATTGAACTTTTTTTGTAAATTTAATTTAACCCGATTTTTTTTTTTAATATTTTTTTTTTTTTTAATTTAATTATTTTATTTTTATTTCGGAACGAGAATTATAGCGGATCATATAATTTATCGTTTTAATCAATTTAAGGTATTTTAAAGCAATATTCGATTAATCGAAAATCTAAAATCGAGTTTTGAGAAACGATAATCGCGATTAAATCGATTCTCAAATCGATTCCAATCCCTACAGTAGGAATCAAAAGAATATTTAATAATATTGATCAATTAAAATTAACCGGTTATAATTAAAACATTAAAAAGATTTAAAATCATTGTTAAGAATCAAATCTTCATGATTTCGAGGAAAGAACTGATTTCTTATAATTCAAAAAAAAAAATACTTTTCATAGACGTGGTCTTAGGTATACCTTATCTGCTGTAAAGAAAGATTCGCTTTCTTCAAATGATCATCCAAAAAGGTTTGTATAATTATATGATAAGTATAATAAAATTTTCATATCATATAAATAGATATAAAATATATATATATTGGATTTTATCAAAATTTCCGTCTTTAATCGTGAATATCAACTTCGTAAGCACAAATTTATCAATTTCAGTTCGAACTATAGTTGCGGGGCAAAATCCTAAATCCATTTTGGCAAAGTCTAAACTTTTCAGAAATTATTTCGACAGTTTCGATGTGTTTTGATAGTTTCGATAGTTTCGATGGGTCTCGAAAGTTTCGACGGTCAACTTTGCAATTTTAATAAAATTCGACGGGTTTTAACAGGGTTTATTGTATCATAATCATAGAATATATTAAAGCGATATTTTTTTGCTTTTTATTTTAAATTGGAATCCCTAAAGTTAATCTTACTGTTCTCTCAAGTTATTTGAATGTGCATGAAATTCTCTTATATTCGAGGATTCTTAAACGTTGAAAAATTACATTATATTTACTCGGTCGTATATGATTATTATACTTTATCCGTGGAGTCATTTGTCTCTGAGAGAGTTTATTTAAACTTCGATCATGATATTACAATATAAGCTATTGCTTGTATATAAAAAAATTAAAAAAAAAAGTTTAATAAATTTAATTACTATATGTATTAATTTATATACTAATATCGTTATTATTATTAAATTAAATATAAAATAATGTAATTTCTTTAAAAAAGCGTTGGAAATGAGGGTCCAGTTGACTCCCATTTGTTGAATCCGAATTCTATCGTTTTGCAATTATAAAATATGAAATTTCTTTATAAAAATACTTAATAGGAAATAGTCGAAATAAAACCTTTCATTATGTTGTATTAGATTGAATTAATTGATTAACTAAATATTAAAATTCTCATATGCCTTGAAGGTCATTTCATTTTCAATTTTCCTTTTAAAATTTATTATAATTTCGTTCTAACTGTATCACTTAATATAATTTTTTTAGTTTTATTTATTATAAAATATGTTTAAAACGAAAAGGAAAAGTAATAAAGATAAAAAATAAAATATGTCGTTACTTCATCCGATAACTTGCAGCTCACGTAAGTAATGCATTTGATTTGTTATGATTTTGCCACTCCGTGCCAAATCATGCATAACTGCCTGATAACCCGTGAAGTTACTATCAATATTCACATGCAAAAATTTGAAGCCCCAATTAAAATTTTTTATTAGAAATGTTGTATGACAAAATTTTGTTACATCAAAGTATTGTATCACAAAAATAATGGATCCTGCATAATTAAAAAATGTTCACATTGAAATCAATACTTTGTTATCATCACGAACGGAGGTAGTTATACATTGTTAATCACTTTTTAAAATATGAATGATTTGTTTCGCAAATGTTATAACTATAGTCAAAACTATTTCATGTAATTCGGCCTCTCGTATTTCTCATATTGAAGTGAAATTTATTGTTTGTGAAAGAACAAAATCTGTGTAGATCTTAATTATTTCGGATGTGGCTAAATTATATGTAACCAAACCGTTATATATATTTTGTGAAACAGAATTTTCTATATAATAACCCATTAATCTAATATTTCATTTTTTTTTTTCCTTCTTTCTTACAATCACTTTATAATGGCCGTCGAAAACTTTCCGAAATTGTCAGAGAATCTTTCTCAAATGCTTGATGATGCAATCGATTGCGACGTCATCATCAGAGTCGGAAACGATACAATTATGAAAGATTTTCATGCCCATTCGATTATCTTGAAGTATCGATCACCTTATTTTAAAGGAGCGCTCTCGCAGAATTGGATTACAAAAACAGATAATGTGTTTAACTTTAACAAACCGAACATTTCTCCAATGATTTTTGGTTTGATTATTAGGTAACAAAAGTTCTTGAAATTTTTTTTTTCTAATCCAACACGTTTAGCTCATGAAATTATATTTTTGAATAATTTTTTTTTTTTAGATATATTTACGCTGGTAGACTTGATTTAAGTGAAATTGATTGCTCTGATATCCTTGACCTTGTCATAGCATCCGATGAATTATTGTTTGCTGATTTGGTAACTTCTGTACAAGAATATTTGGCTAAATACCGATCCGAATGGTTGGAAGAAAATTTTTATGAGCTCTTTCAAACGGTTTTCCAACTAGATTGCTACAAACCACTTCAAAACCATTATTTAGAAACTGTTCGTTATGATCCGGTACCTTTTTTTGATTCACCAAATTTTCAAACATTAGAAAAAGGTTTTCTACTTGAATTGGTTAAAAGTGATGATTTAAAAATTGATGAAATGGAATTATGGAATTATGTCCTTAACTGGGGGATGGCCCAAACTACGGAATTACGAGGAAAGACGATTACGAATTTAAGGTTTTGGAATGAAGAGGATTATAATGCTTTAAAAAGTACTTTGGATCCATTTATTAAACACATTCGATTCTTCGACATTTCCGCAAGAAATTTTCACGTAAAGATTTGGCCACTTAGGAAGGTGTTACCTGAAGCACTCTTCGATGATCTTGTGTCATTTCATAGGTCAAATGATAGTCCTAATAGAAATCAATTGGCTCATCGTCATGGACGAATTACTGTAGATTCATTAATTATAGAACCAAAGCATGCGTATATCCTTGCTAACTGGATTCAAAGAAAAGATCCCAATACGAGGATTCCAAAGGATATTCAATATAGCTTTAACCTTATCTATCGTGGAAGTAGAGATGGCTACGATAACCAAATCATACGTAGTAAATGTCATGGACATGAAGCATGCATTTTGGTTATTAAAACTAAAATGGATGAAATGATAATTGGTGGTTATAATCCTTGTGGTTGGAAATACTATGATGAAAGTTCGAGTACTGATCCTTATTTTCATGATTTTGAAGAATTTAGTTATGCCGAAAGTTTTATTTATACTTTAGATGATGGAAACGATTTAAATGATGCTAAAATTAGTCGAATTATGAATACCAATTTTGCAATAAGTGATAATTCTCGTAATGGACCATTGAGGTTTGGTAATAGAGATCTGGTTATCGATCAAAATACTGGTACATGCCATCACACTTATTATGAAAGACCCATTTTAGATAGACATAAGTTTACCATCGATGAAATGGAGATTTTTGAATTTTGTAAAGGGTGAATAATTAATTTTATGAATTATTTTTTATTATGTTTTGTATTTCACTCAGCGCTTTTATAATTAATATTTCTTTTAATCATTATTAAGGGCTTCTTGGCTTACTTTGAAAATGGAAAAATTTACGGCACGGCGTTAACATTTATTGGGTTCATTTATTCAAAATTTTTGGAAGATAATCTCTCACATGTAAAATGTATTTAAAAGTTATAAATAAAATTAAGCTTAAGCTAATTAAACAATAAAAAAAATTTTATACATAATTTTGCTGCCAATGTTTGATATCTTTCTATGCGGTTCACAACGATTACAAATTCCTATAAAAGCTTCGTTTCTACTTAAAACCGTTTACTTCTTTAATTGTTTTTATAAAGTTTTACGATCTTCGTTTATCGTAGTGTCTTAGCGTCGTTGGCTGTGATTCCTTTGTCTTTAAAATGGATTTATCATGCCTTGGCTTACACTCATAATACTAAAAAAAAAATCGACGAAACTACTAGAATTAATTGAACGTTTGGCAATAAAACAACATTATTAGAAACAGTTTTTTTATAGTTAAAACTTAAAGCTAAAGGTTAAAAGAACTTTAAAGTTATTATTTCTTTTAAATAGTTAGTGGCATTTTTTTCAAGTTTATCTTTAATTATCAAGTGTTTAATAATCTTTTAGTTATACTTTTTTTTTTTTTTAGTTATCTAATAATAAACCGTTAATAAACGATTAATTAGATGCTGGATGGTGTTTTGAAGATTTAATGTAGTTGGAGTTCTAGGCAGATTTTATTATTAAAAGGATATGAAAATAAATTAGAATTAATGACATTTTTAAATCAAGTTTAAGCCAAAGAATATTTCAAAACTTACGAGCTGTAAAAAAATTTTAATTATAAATTATTATAGTAAAAGATAAAATCATTCGTTGTGAGAGAATTAATATCTTAGCCATCATTTGACGCAAAAATGTATTATTACAGTGCAGTGATATTATAAACACTTTGACCTTGGAAATAGTAAATTTATAAGCGGTTTAAGCACATTTATAGGGACCTAAATATTTTATTAAAGAAACCATTATTAATTTTTATTTTATTTTTTTTTTAAATAAAGCTTAACTAGTATTTGTTAAGGAGAATTATTAAAAGACAGCTCCAATCAACATTTTAACTAAACAAATTCAAATTTCGGAATATACGTAATCCTTAATTAAACTAATTCACCATTAGCACTAGAATTGTATCGATCTTATTGGAATATTCAGCACTCCATGGTTTTTTGATTGAATTCCCTGTCTCAATGGAGTTAATACGTAAATAATTATATCACTAAAGCAAATCAGATACATTTGTCCTATAAACATTAACAAATTAAAGACAATGTGTCATAAAAAAGTAATAAAATTAGTGTCTTCTTCAAATAAGAGACAAAATTTTAGAAATGCAATCGAAATCAAATTAATTCATAAAAGACGAGCATTATGTTTATTTCATTGCAAGCGCTGAACCTTGATTATAATTAAGGTTTAAAATTATTTTTTTTTAGTTTATTAAAAAGGGAGGGGAATCTCTTTATCAAAAGCACGTTTAAAGAATTTATTTGTACAACCTTTATTCAAGTAATTTCGTACCCTAAGAAAATTTTCAACATTTTATTATTATGAAACTGTGTTAAGTTGTGGCAGAAACGCCAAGGGAGTTGAGTGTACCACTACTACATTTCGAATTTATTTTGCTTCTGAATTAATGAATTTGTGCAACAATCAAAAGACTTCATTTATAAATTGCTGTGAAAATGTACATTATCTTATTCTGGATTCTGATAATATGAACCTAATATCATAATTCAGTTGAAGTGTAAATTGAGTCATGGTTGCAAAGCTATCTTTTTACTTGATTTTTTTTGAATATGCTGTTTGTTGTACTTAACAAATATTTAAGTTTGTATTAAGTAGTATTTTAAGAATTTATTTCTCTTTTCAACCGATTTTAATAAAACAATTGTAATCATAAATAATAAATAATTGCAAAACAATTATTGCGCCTTCTTAATCTCGTTATTTTTCCATTTCCGAACATTTTCACTTCGGAAATTATCGCTTAAAATATTAGGAGAGGACTGGCTCATGGACCGGTCCATAAGAGAGATGAAAACTGGACCGGGTCGATCCAACTTTATTTTATAATAAAATAATTTATTTAGTATTTCATAAATTAATCCTTAATTTATATTATAACATATGCTATAAATAATAAAGGGTTTGTCCTCAGAATATAGACTGAGGACCGTAAGGATCGGTAACACCAGTCTTACCAAGACTGATCCATCCCTAACTTCAACCTAATCAGATATTTTTTGGGGTTCATTTTAACCGTCTTCAAAAATATTAAGGTTAATATAAAATAATAATCACTTTTCTTAAGCTTATCAGAAAGTAATCATCTAAGGTTTGTTACCAACATTTCGAAAGCAACTACTTTCTCCTTGGTTTAACCGAACCGACATAAGTTTGATAATGACAAAAATCCACTCCCACCGCGAATGTCTATAACATTGTTATTTGCGTATCTATTGCATTAAAAAATTAGCATTTCAATGACGCAATCTAATAAGGAAACCTTTAAAGGTACACTAATTACGAATATGCTTATCATATATAAGTGCATTACGAACATCAAATCTCATTATTGGTCTAAAATTTGGACAACAATTTTTTTCCAAAAGCATTACAAGACAAGATTTTATAAATTTAGATTGGAAAATGTATGCGTTAATTTAATTGAAAACTTTGTTAATACATTCAATTGTATCTAACAAATTTTTTTTCTACCCTTTTATTTAAATCAATTTATTTTATCTTTTTCTTTGCTACTTTTTAAAAAAAATCGATTTTTTATTATTCTATTTTCATTTACTACTTTTTTTAAAAAAATTTTTATTTAATTCTATTTAGTTTATACAGTAACACCTCTATAAGTGCACCCTCTATAAAGTGCACACCCTCTCTATATGCACACCATAGCCCGGTCCCAAGCTCGGGACTTAGAGCTAAGTGCACTCCCTCTATGTTCTGCACGTGCAAGCAATTCCGAGTCCCGGGTATATTAGAACACCCTCTATAAGTGCACTCACGTGATAATCGACCAATCAGAAATAACTGTTTGGTCACGGTTAATTTTAAATTAATAATTTTAATTTAAATAAATTTGTGTATGACGACATTTATTAAAATAAAATCATAAATCTTTTTTTTTATACAGTATTTACAAATGCGAGAACATTTTTTATTCTTGT